CTATTCTTTTCTTTTAACTTTTATAATTATAACGTCTCTTTATGCACAAACAAAGCGCATCTTTTGTGCGATCGATTTTAAGCACATCGAGAAAGAGTTTGACAATTTCTTACGTGCAGCTTAATATTGACGTTTATAAAAGTGCTAATATTATTTGTTTTCTATTATTTTCAGTTTTGTTTATTTTTTCTTTTTTATTTTTGTTACATTGTAAACTTAAAAATGAAGGATTTTGTTGTTTAGTGCAATGTATCAATTGGAATGTTTTGCTTTATTTTCTTGATATATGATAATAAGTTTATTAATATTAATTGACCGTTCTAATATTACATTTACACTACCTCTTTCTGACGATATTGTAACTAAGTGAAACGTTGTGAACATTTATATAATATATTTTCAAATATTTACTGCAACAGCTTTTAAGTGTTTGATGATAAAAAAGTTTGCACATAACGCTTATCATTTTTCTGCATCCGTTTCTATTCGGACATGCATCCTCATCGTTCATCCTATTACCTTTTCAATGGTATATGTACATCTTGCAAGCTGTGAATGATTGATGCTAAAACATGTTTGCTTGGGAATGATTGATTTTATATAACAAATCCACACGAGCGAATACACTCTGACAAGTATCAACCTACACCGTTTTTCGAAAGGTAAGATGTCTGTGTTTCTATCTCGCTTTTCATTTTTTATGAAGTATAATAATACATAAGAATACATAATTGACAGCTGACTAGACTTGGTGGGATTAATTTCAATTCTTTGGCTTCCAAATTGCTTAGCAATTATATCAATTATGTCATTACTGTTGCCTACGGATTCGATTATTTTATCATTACAATGATCTGAAAATTCACATTTCGAATAATCCGTTATTTATGTTCTAGGAGAGAATACCGTAAACGGCGATCACTCGGACGCTCATCACAGTACTTTTTCGCAAAGTAGCAAGGAGGTTTGTCGCAATACTTATAATATCAAAACCACACCATCATATCATATGCGGGGAATCGGAAATTAATTTTTTACGCGTTTTATTGTTTATATTTGAAGCGTTTATTCTTGATATGCTTATACACAAATCAATTTAGATTACTGTTTTTTTTTTTTTATTGTTGGCTTTAGATTCACTCTCTAAAATAATGAACTTAAACAAATCTCCGCATATGTACGTCGGATTTCTTTCACATATCTCATTACATTTCTCATGCATTCGTTAACACATGGGAATGCTATATTTTAATCAAATATGGAATAAGATATTTCTTGATTTATAATGTTATAAGAGAAGAGATATAGAGCGTGTTTAATTCGAGCGAATTGTCGCTTCACTTTTTGCATTAATTTTTACAATACAGCCGGCATAGTCGTTCATAGATTCGCCTTCTATTCTATATCGATTTGCATGCGACTAAATAATTGGCTAATAGAACGATTAAGCGTGAAAGTTCGACGCTCTATGCATGTGCATGCAGAAAGGTTTATGGTTACGGTTGGGACCTTCCGTGTTAAGGGTTCCATGTCGCAGGATGTGAGCGTTAGCGAGGAATCGCCAAAGAAGGAAAAGAAGAAGAAGAAGGGCCTTAGGACGCCATCCTTTCTTAAAAAGAAGAAGGAAAAGAAGAAGTCAGTCGAGGCGTAGGTAGTCGTAGCTCAGGTAAGCGATTCAGTTAATCTGTCTTAGTCTCTAGATTTTGATACCGTCGTAAAGATTATTTACATTTGCGAACAAATATATTTACGGATCTGTTAAACGTCATTATCTTTATTTTATAACGTTAGTATGCTTATGCTGAAGCGTTTCTTATAATCTATGATCTACAAATCGATTATACGATCGAGCGAGCCGCTATTTCTTCTTCTAGACTTTTCCTCTTTTATGATATCGACTGTAATTTTGGAGAGTCATTTTTGAATAATGAAAAATTTCAGCAACTCGCTCGCTCGCTCAATCGATTGTTCCCAGTCAACGTGGTTAGTTTGTTTGAGTCCGAGTGTTGCTCATTGAAGGTATGGAAGAAAAATTAAAAGCTTTTCCTTTAGAGACTAGACGCGCTCGCGCTAAATTTCATATGGCTGCAGCAAAGATCAAGTCGTGTTTTTTGATAGAATTACATTCGCGTAAATAAATAAATAAGTATGTATATATATATATATATTTATTTATTTATTTATTTATTTATTTATTTTATTTATAACAATATGAAGCGCAGTGAGACACACCAAACGATATTGACCTTGAATTAACATCTATATTTTCAGACACTGCCACAAGCAAAAGCTTCTCGTAAAAAATAAAACGAACATGCAAGTTTAAACTCAAGATCGGATATGAGCTCGCTTTAAAGTAAAGGACAAAATTCGACGAGTAACGAAGAAACGAAGCATAGACGAATGGCGGAAGATAAAACGGAGATGGATAGAGGAGAATGCGCGAAGAAAAATCGAAGCGAACGAGCAACAATCACAGCATCTTTCCAGGACTCAAGACTGCCATCGCATTACGTCTACGATAAGGAAACTATATTGTACTGTTAATGTTTTTACGTTTTTAATTTGTTAAGCGTCGCGCTAATGTATTTAATCCGCTATTTAATTTTGCCTCTCCTATCCCGTTTGTGTGTAACGCAATAAAGAGTTACATATGCATACTTTGCGACGAAGAAAGACAGACAGATAGAGAGAAAGAGAGGCGTCATCATTATTATCTTTATTATTTTATTCGCCAATGTCGACGCCGTTGCCGTTGCCTTCATCGTTGTCGTCGTCGTAATTCTCGTCGTCCTCTTTCTGCTCGTCGTCGTCATCATCGTTGCTGCCGCCGTCGTCGTCTTCGTTATTATCATTATCATCGTCATCGTTATCGTTATCATTATCATTCATTATCATTGCCGCCATCGCCATTATCATAGTCATCTTCGCCGTCGTTGTCGACGTTGTTGCTATTATGGTCATCGTTGCTATTTGCTTCTACTGTATTTTTTTTTCTCTTTCTCAAGATTGTCTTAATTCTTTGATTGTAACTGATAATTTTTAGATTAGGAAAAAATGTCGTATGATCTCTCTTTTAGAACGGAGAGATGGCAATAGTTCACGGCGCGTAAAGTTTGCGCGAATGTGATTAATCGAATACGAAACATTTTATCTTGAACGATTCGTGGATTTACTGGGCTGATACTGGATCAGTTTTATCGCGAAGAAAAAAGGAAGTAGAAGTGAATGCGAAAGGCTGTGTTCTAGATTTTGAAGCTGGCGTGCGAAAGAAATGCGTTGCGAGAATATGGATCTCACGACTGTCCTCTTGTATCAAAAGCATCCTGGACAATAGAAATCGCCTGACTCCCGGACTGATGTACTCGTCTTCGTGATATGTATAAAGTAATTTGTGCCGTACGATAGCCTATCGATTACGATTGTTACCGAGTTGAAAACTTTATTACAAACTATCTATCGATTGGCGCTTATATCGACATAATATTTTATGTCAACTGAATAAAAAGAAATAGTAATACTAACAGTAAGTCATGCCTTACGGCGACATTCATCAGCTTATATTGTTACCAAATTCAAACAATCGGTAAACTTAGGTATGTCTATTAAAAGGATGTAAAGTAGATTCAGAATGGAACTGAAGTGGAAACAAAGTATGGCGACGTGTGCTTTCACGAAATTTTCAATTTTATCTATTCGACCTAACGAAATAGTTAAAACTTTTTCGGAGTTTATTATGCTAAATATTCGTTGTACATACAGAAGTGCAAAACCGTGTAATAATTTTTGCTTATCCTTTCCTTTTACAGATTAATTATTCATTGATATGTAAAAACGTGCCTTTCGTATCTTCGTCAATCGATTAGTCTTTAGCATTCGATCGTTTCAATCCTTACCGTATCTACTGATTTATTAATTGAGTAATCGTTCGATTTGGTCGTCACGCGTCATTTGCTGTTGAATAACATCTTTTTGCAGTAATTTCAACAAGTCGAACTTGGTTGGACCAAGTAAGTAAGAATATCTTTCCTAGAGTCGTGTTGTCCTCAATTAGTCATTAATTAAATAAGAAATTACTTAAAGAGCAATCGAAGCCGCGATGCGGAACATTGCAATTATTCGTGATTCTCTTTGACTTGTTGAAACTGTTGAGGAATGTTGTTCAAATTGATAATTCGAGTACTAATGATTACGTTCTTTATCCGTAATTAATGATCGACCACTTATACAACGTGTGTTTTGTACAAATAAAGTCGACGTTATATCTATATATAACATATGTATAACTGTATGTATATCTGCGTATAACATCGAGTCGTGTTATATGTAGAACCGATCGAGTATATGTAAACGAGAAGGATATAGTGCTGTTTTAACAGTTTGAGCATTATGAATCATTTATGCTCGAAGTGGCTGGAAGGACTAGAATAGATAATATGAGAACGAAATAAAGCGCACATGCACATTGGCTTACAAGTTTTTTGTTTTTATCGAATGCATGCGCTAGATGGAAATTTTAATATATTTTATTCGGCACTGTTTTTATCGAGATTGATGTTGACGACCGTGACTATTATTTTTTTAGTTTATTATCAAAATATTTTATTAATATTATCACTACTATTATAATTATTATAATTTTATTATTAAGGTTAACGCTATTACCATCGCTGCATTATATTTAAAGTGCAACATAATTGCGAGCTGAGCTCGTGATGAAATCGAATTTGCACGTCGTGCTTTCTTCCTCCAACGACGATTCATCGCGAGATCACACGTGCTTCATCGATTTGACTATGACACATCTATGAACGAAGAAATATATTCACCTATGTATACTTTCTTCTCGCCTCCTCTCCTCTTCATCCTTCACTTATATTCACGTATCATGTAATGATCGATAATAATTGTATGATCGAAGACGTATATTAATGCAATCTATTATTGTATAATGGTTGATATAATATATAAATAATATTACAACAAAATACACAAGAAAGTATTTTTAGATGTGCTTATATTTTTCAGTAGTTGTTTCTTCGAGCAATACCAAGTGACAAATTATTATAAGGAACCGAATATGCTCCTCTTGTCAAAAATTCCACGAGGATCAGATCGGGATCGAATAAGAAGCAAAGTTAACAAATCGCAGTAGATCGCTTCGAATTGCGTTACAAAATCAAGCAAAACTCGCGACAAGCGATAAATGGCAAGCGTCACAGTATAAATATACGAAATATGAAAAAATAAAAATAGAAATCTCGATCTAATCTTTAGTATTCTTCCGCACCATCTCCTTCGCCATCGGTAGAGTCCATGCCGACTTCTTCGTAATCCTTCTCCAAAGCGGCGAGATCCTCCCGTGCCTCTGAGAACTCACCTTCTTCCATCCCTTCACCGACGTACCAATGTACGAAGGCTCTCTTCGCGTACATCAGATCGAATTTGTGATCGAGCCGCGCCCAGGCCTCAGCAATCGCCGTTGTATTGGATAACATACAGACGGCACGTTGCACCTTGGCGAGATCACCGCCGGGAACGACGGTGGGCGGTTGATAATTGATGCCGACCTTGAATCCCGTCGGGCACCAATCAACAAATTGAATGCTGCGTTTGGTCTTGATAGTCGCGATTGCCGCGTTAACATCCTTCGGCACTACATCGCCTCTATAGAGCATGCAACATGCCATGTACTTTCCATGACGAGGGTCACATTTGACCATCTGATTTGCGGGCTCGAAGCAGGCGTTTGTTATCTCGGCAACAGAGAGTTGCTCATGATATGCCTTTTCTGCGGATATGACGGGAGCGTAGGTGACTAGAGGGAAATGAATTCTGGGATAGGGCACCAGGTTCGTTTGAAATTCTGTCAGGTCGACGTTGAGCGCGCCGTCGAAGCGCAGCGAAGCCGTGATCGAAGACACGATCTGGCCGATTAGGCGGTTTAAATTAGTGTAAGTTGGCCGTTCAATGTCCAAATTGCGTCTGCAAATGTCATATATGGCCTCGTTATCCACCATGAACGCGCAATCGGAGTGCTCGAGGGTGGTGTGCGTCGTAAGAATCGAATTATACGGTTCGACAACGGCTGTAGAGACCTGAGGCGCCGGATAAATCGCAAACTCGAGTTTCGATTTTTTCCCGTAATCTACCGATAGTCGTTCCATCAACAGAGATGTGAAGCCAGAACCGGTGCCACCGCCAAACGAATGGAAAATCAAGAAGCCCTGAAGTCCTGTGCATTGATCTGCCAGCTTGCGAATGCGATCCAAAACGAGGTCCACTATTTCTTTGCCGATCGTATAATGGCCACGTGCATAATTGTTGGCAGCATCCTCTTTGCCAGTTATTAGCTGCTCCGGATGGAAGAGTTGCCGATATGTGCCTGTACGCACCTCATCTAAAAGAACATCGGTAGATCAAATTCGGTCATCCAGTTGTCTTAAAAAATTATTTTCGCTGCATAAAATATCATATCGCACTTACCCACGACGGTCGGTTCGAGATCGACGAAGACCGCTCTGGGTACATGTTTCCCAGCGCCGGTTTCGCTGAAGAAGGTGTTGAAACTATCATCACCACCTCCAAGTATCTTGTCTGACGGCATTTGTCCATCGGGTTGAATACCATGCTCTAAACAGTACAATTCCCAGCAAGCATTTCCTATTTGTACTCCCGCCTGCCCCACGTGGACGGATATACATTCACGCTGCGAGCAATATATTACACAATTAAGTAATTGCAGTTTTTCTGATAATAAACTGATTTGTTTTTTATTAAAATCCACTTTAGAATCTTATATCAGTGATTAGATTTATAATTTATGTAAATAAATTGTTTATATAAGTCTCCTCAATTGTTAATACTTTGATAATATATCTATAGCATTGTGTTATAAATAAATTATTTATGCATTAACAATCGCAAAAACTCATATAGATAGTTTACTTATATTTACAGATTTATTCTTTGGAGAGAGAGAGACATACAAATACAATATTTTTATTTTAATTTATAATTTAAATCTATAATTTGTGACAAAATTCTAGTTATAATTTTATATACGCTTCATAATGCATAAAAAATATTTTAAGAATCAGTATATTATATATAGGGTGTCCCGTAAGTTTTTGTCAAACGCTTTTGTATTGATAGAGCGAATTAAATATATAT